CCCCCCTCCGTTCTTTCTCTGAGGACATCTCCGTAAACACAGCCAGAGGGTCAGGGCCGGCCGGCACCATACAAAAACTGATAAGACGCCACATGCAGATGGCAACTGGTTCCAGTTTTTACATAGCAAACATATCAAAGTGCTATCTTCTCTATTCTTTGAACACAAACAGTGAGACTAGAGGGACGTATGTGGCCTTGTTTAGGATACATTAAGTTCTGTTTCTTTCAGAAAAGAACCACACTTTCCTCTTATCACAGCATGTCAGAGTCCATGTAGACTTGCTCCTAACGCTTTGCCTTTTCATTGTCGAGTCCTATAAGTTGTTTTGGAGTTGAAGTATTTACTTTACATAAAGCGTACCTCTGACCTAGATACCCTGCTTTGCCTCTCCACTTCAGGGAGCGAGCAGATGAAATGTCTCAACTTTATGTTCAACATTGGCGATTTACATTTCCTCTGATTTGTGTTTTTCTCAAGCTCTTTGATATCATTTATTTTGGAACATGAAGTGGAAAAGGGGGAAGGCAGGCGAGTCATAGCGCCTGTGAAACTGTAACTAATATTGGATGTTTTTAACTTGATGCATGGGCTCAACACCAGCAGTTTCCTGTTGATCTATTTACGACACACTTCTCCTTTTTAAAATGTGTGGTTTTTTTTTTTTTTTTAAATCTGTAGAGCTTCCAGAGAACTGGACTGACACACGGGAGACCATCGTCGAGGGCATGACCTTTAACCTCCGTCACCTGGGCATGACACTCGTGGACCAGCCGAAAGGAGAGGACCTGTCGGCTGCAGCAGTAAAGAGGATCGTGGCCACGGTGAGAGCTGTCGGGGTGTCGTACACTCAACAGGATTACCGCTTCCTCAATTACTCTTTTCGTCTACAAGTACTATACATGCTGGGACTTCTTGCACAGAACATTGCCCTTGTTGGAACAAAAATCAACTTTTATTTATTAACCCATCAATCGTTTGTTTGAAAGGGTCTCCCCCTCACTCTGCCCATCTTCCTATGAACTCATTTTATTTACTGATATTATCATTGTTATTTTACATCATTTCCTTTTTTCACTTCTTTGTTTAAACACGTAGTTAACAAGTATAAATCTGGCACAATGAATAATAAGTGATGAAACTGATGGCTTGTAATGTAAATACCTGCAATTTAGTATTTAAAAATTGCAGGTTTTTCTGATGTTGAATTTCTCAACTCATAAAGGATCGTGCCATTTCTTCAGATAAAGTAAAATTGTGTTTTTAAAGCTTCGCTCTGACATTATTGTCAAGTTTCCATCCAAATTTTGCGCAAATTTGCACCGAAGTTCCAGGAAATTGGGAAAAGAAAACGCAGTTGATGTTTCTAATTCTCCAGCCGGGTGCCATTGAACCATTGCGGAAGAAGAGGACACAACGAGATGATGCATAATTAAAAGCTGAAGAGTCCCGTTTTCAGAAGCATCTAATGTCTTTGTCTGCTGCAATTTGAGTCAAAACTCAAGTCAGTCTTTGTGTACGCCGTGATTCATTTGCGAAGTTTGTTTCCACTGCACTCTGTCGCATTTTTCTTTTCTCCGTACGCCGACTTTTCCACGTCAGCCAAGCGCAAAAATATAATTTTGTGTATTTTGTATGTACAGAAGACATTCGCATGCTATTAATCCAACGTCTCTCTTTAATAATGGTGTCTGTAACAGGCTAAAGCTGGTGGGAAGAAGCCTCAGAAGGTTGCTCTCAAGGTCTCCCCTCAGGGAATCGTCCTGAACGACAGCTCGACCAACAAACTCCTGGAAAATGTCTCCATATACAGGTATGTTCAGAGCAGCACACGTGTTTCAGATCAATCATTAACGGCGTTGTTGCACTTCCGAAGCCGCTAAGTGCAAGTTTACAACCTGACAAGAGCATTGCCGTGTAGCTGAGCTTACCCTGTGACCTCTCCTCGCCTCCGTGGTGTGCTGCTCCTCTAACCTGTCACCTCTGGCCTGCAGAATATCCTACTGCACAGTGGACAAGCTGCACGATAAAGTGTTTGCTTATATCGCTCAAAACACCCTCAATGGGACCCTGGAGTGCCACGCCTACCTCTGCTCCAAGAGGAAAGTGGTAAGTTGTTTGAATACAGAATGTTTAATGTATGATGAATATAAATTAAGTTCCAGAGCAGTGATTTCTTTAAATTTTCCGTTTGCTTTGAGTTTGAGGTGGGGTAAACCTCTCCTCGTGGTTGGGTGGGTAATCTCATCTAGCTTTAGTTTCACTTCCTGAGTAAAACCCGGCGACGCCCAGCATCCCGAGTGCTTTTCGTTCCTTTTGAGACATCATTTCTCCTGCAACTGTTCTTTTTCTCTCCGGTGCCTCTCTGACACGATGGCTCCTCTTTCTCATCTTCCATTCTTAAGAGGAAACCCTAGAAGTCTCGCTGCCCGAACCGTCTGTCATCTTCCTGTGTGTGTTGGAAAAACAGAAGGGCACTTTTCCTCTCGTCTTACATGCTTCCACACTCGTCCCCTTCTCTCTCCCAGTTGATGATAATACCCTACTTCCTCAGTACTCGTCCTGCTGATGGAGACAGTGGCGATGAACTCTTTGTCCTCGTGTAGAACCGCTCTTCAGTCCCAGCGTTGACTACTTTGACATGACTATTGACCTTTGATGTCATTTTGCTTTTTGATTAAAATACATTCTCCATCCGTCTCAGTAGCCCGAGGTCTAGTCTTAATAAATGAAAGCATTATTCCAATTTAAATCGTTCCAGGGGGAGTCATCTTTACTTAGAGTTTACCAAAATGTGTTTGTTACTTTAAGTAAAAGCACAGAAAGTAACTAGTCTATATCTGCAGACCAGATATGACTACAGACTAATGGTCAACAGTACTTTTTCTATAATAATTCACACAATCAAATGTCTCACTTGAGACATACATAAATGTACTTTGATTTGAAATGTGAGACATTATTGAAGATCATGCCTATTATTATTATTATTATTATTATTCTGTCTATACTTCAAGCTGCATTTGGTAACTTTGGTAATATAAATACCTTTTTCTCATATTTGCTCAAACTGTCACTATATCCTAAAAGTAGTAAACAAGACAGATAATCTGTGAAACGTTCGGGTTGCTTTGCCTCCTTTTAGTGCTCTCAATGTAACTTGCAAGTTTCCACCATGCTCAAACACCAATCAGAGTAGAGGAGTACTACTGTGAGGATATAGTGACAGTTTGAGCTAATATGACAAAAAGGTATCTTTATAAAAGTTACCATCTGCAGCTTTAAGTTTTTTGAGTTAGGTAAACAGTGATGTATTTTTAATTTTTTTGTAGGCTAATCTGTAACAAAGTGTATCTTCTGTTCTCCAGGCTCAGGCCGTGGCTTTGACGGTGGCCCAGGCCTTCACAGTAGCTTTTGAACTCTGGCAAGTGGCCAAAGAAGGTAGGCACCAAACTCCCAAATTATATGACATCTACAAAGTACTGTCTATGTGGGAGTTGTTGTATCAGCTTCTGAGACTGTTTGTGTTTGTGTTGAATCAGCTTTGACGCTCCCAAGGACGCTGCTATCTGCTGTAAGATTGCGACTAACACGTTTTTGCCTCATTGTGTCACATCTCTTCTCTCTTCTAGAGAAAGGGAAAAGAGTGAAGTCCGGTTCAGCCGGAGAGGCCAGCAGCAGTTCCCATTCGGAGAGATCGAACAGCTTGGGGAGCCTGAAGGGGACGGGTGAGAACGCCGTCCGTGTGCGAGGCCCCCAAAAGACTTCGAGTCACGTCGATAGTGTTTCGCTTTTCATTTCTTAAATCCTCGTGCAGCCGAGAGAGAAAGTTGAGCTCTTACAATTTGAAACCGAACAAGTTGATAACAATAATAATGACTTTATGTAGCACACTTTAAAATGCAGAGAAATCTCAAAGAGCTTGACATAAAAGGTAAAACAATCATAGTACAGCGTTAATTTACACTAAAGAACCATGCGATTTATAAGGGTTAAAATAGGATGAATAAGATTCATAGACAAAATATTAGAGACCCAAGTTGAGTCTAATGTGTCCAGAAATCTACACTTTTTGATAGTTTTCCACTTCTTTTGTCGAATTTTCTGTTTGGCGGGGACAAATATATTTAAAATAATAATACCTACAAACAATCAAATCAGTCACACACAACTATCAAAAATTGAGACATCCCTTTACAGTATGGAAATACAAAACCTTAAATGGCAGCAAATTATAATCCCAAATACAGACGCGGAGCCAATAGCTACCTACCACCTCTACCTACAGCCCTGTGACTGCAGACAATAAACAAAGAATAATGGGAGTGGACTTTAAGTCTCTTCAACATACATTTAGTAAACACAGAGTACCTGTGCACACAACAGCAGCTAATGGGTTGTCCTTCACTCACCTCTCATGTAGATGTTGCCACAGACAACCTGTTGGACTTTGACGACGGTGTGAATGTGGTCGTGGAGACCAATGGGAATGAAGAGGAGGATCAGCTGGATAACCACAGGCCCGCTGAGAACAACAACAACAACCCCGCCTGTGTAAGATCCTCCCCTCCTCTGGCTCTATGTTACACTTGGAGACAACTGAGGCTCATGCAGCTCAACTAAGTTTTCTTTAAACTTGTGTTTGAGAGTTGGATCTCAAGGCTTCTGTGTTTCAAATTGATTTGGGACAGTTCACCCCAAAAACAAAAATGCACATTTTTCCTCTTACCTGTTATGCTATTTATCAATCTACACTGTTTTGGTGTGAGTTTTGGAGATATCTGCTGTAGAGATGTCTGCCTTTTCTACAAGATTGATAAATTGCACTGATTACATCGCACTGGTTTTGGGGTGCACTGTCACTTTAAGCATATGTCAAATCATAAGTTAAATCATAAGGTTTAAATACAGTTGACAATAACATGAGATTTCTTGGTTGAGTCTTAAATAAGTTGCATAAAGTCTAACCTGCAGTTAAATAAAACACCATTACCACATGTTTGTATGATATTCACAAGATTCTTCTTCTTCCAGGAGACAGAAGATGGTTTGGATGAAGCCTTCTCCAGGTGAGACATGTCTTCATATTTTAATGTATAATAAAAATGATTGTACTTGATTCTCTCTGCTGCTTGTTAAAATAAACTTCCCCAATCTCTGCCTCCTCACATCCTGTCTGTGCACTGTCAGCCACTCTTGTGCTGCTTTGCCTTACAGCGCCACCTACTGCTGATTTCTGTGTACTGCAGAATACAAATCCTCCTGATTTGTTTTTTTTAATTTGAAAGCTAAACTTTAAAACTGTCGTCAATCTGCTGTGTGTTTGTGTCTCCAGCTGTGCTCTGGATAGCTATGGTTCATGTCCAGGTAAAGTAGAGTACCACTATCAGCTGTTACAAGCCTTACTTAGTGTAGTAGTCCTAATTACTAACCTAGACCTAACCCACTCCATTCTATCACCACCAAACCCAATACTACAATAACGGGTCAGTGATGTTATCCGTAGCTTCCTGTGTCCTTTACCTCCTCCCAGATGGAATAATCGTCGACTGAAAAGAAAGCTGATTCAAAGTAGTATCGTCACCTCCCATCTCATTTCACAAAAATTGCCTTTTCCCCCCTGATAACCCTCTTCATAGTCTGTTTGTCTTTCAATGAATGGACTGAATCAGTGGGAGTAATGTGACTCCACTACACACTGAAGGCTTTGTTGGGCAGTTATTCTCTCCGCGGTCGCTGGTGTGAAAGTGGAGCACTGGGTCACCTGAGCCTAGTGGCCGATAAAACAATTTCATCCCGTGGGGTCGAGTGAACTGAATGTCTCGAAGTAATCCGGTTGACCTCCAGCTGGACTTTGCAAATATTATTATCCCAGAGAGGAAAGGGCTGAGGGACCTTATTTAGAAGAGATTGAGGCCTTAGTTGCTCAGACGTATTTGTGAGGCTAAGCTGCATTCAAATGATTGCTTCACCCAAACTTTAAAGGGAGACACTAAAGAGCAACTGTTCAGCTGCTATGCTGACTGAATGCTGTTCCCATGCCTGTTCATTATGTGGCAAACAAGTTGTTTTTTTTCTCTCTTTGTTTTCTGTGCAGAGGACTTTGAATACTTCTCTTCTAGAGGAGGTTTTGATTTTCTTTGGCAGATTTAGCTTTTGCACCTTTAGGCTAGTTTTAAAGTCTTTATTATGTCATAACCGTCATTTTATTCTGCTGTCTTAAAGGATGAGGCTGGTGTTATTCTGTATTTTTCTCATTCACAACAAATCCCAGAACAAGACTTAAAGACTACAATGAATTTCAAATATTATTATTATTTTCAGTCACAGTTTGGTAAGGTTTAGGGTCGGGTGCAAATAACACTGCTAGCTTCTGACACCAGGGTGCTAATAGCATCTTTCTCTTGGGTTGTAGTTGTTTTACTGGTGTATTCATCCATTCATCTTTTCCCCTCTGTCTCCTCAGACTGGCAGTGTCGCGTACTAACCCCCAGGTCTTGGACATTGGGGTGACGCCCCAAGACTGGCTCACCGAACCCGACTGTGACACCGCCAACGGAAACACTCCCAACGGCCTCAGTCCGTTCGGGGAGGATTTCTTCGGCTTCTGACCACCAACAACACAGCAGAGAGAGAAAACAACTGAGGGTGGGGTGAGGGGAGGTGTCTCTATGTCTTCCTATGAATTAACAAGACATCACTGTGTATTTAAGAGGCTGCAGTGAGTCCACAAGGGAATAAGTGTAGAGATGTGAGATAACGTTTGGCCTCCTCACCTTGTTGCTGCACTCTTCACATGGACAATTCTTCCCGTCTTTGTGGAAACAGCTCAGACTGCTGACCCCCCCCCCCGCACACCAAAGCAATAACATCATCCTTATTTGGGTTACTGCATCTGTCCTGTTATTACACCGCAAACATCCTCACAAACTTATGTCACCTTTTGCTTATATCTTTCAGTAGTTTTGGCATCATACTCAGTGCTTTGTGTATGTGTGTAGTTATAATTTATAGAGTTGTAATTATTTTTTTATGGATGAAGAGTAGGATTTAATTCCGACTGATGTACAGACTGTATCAACAGGCCTTAATAACAGCAGGACAATCAGCCACACCATGTCTTCATGTTTCAGTGGATGTAGTTCGTGTGAGGATTTGGAGTTCCACCCCCTTGGATGTAAACATTGTTTAATGTCTAAACATGTGAAAATCAAGCTAGTTGTATTTATAAAGAACCCTTTGTGTAGCAGTGGCTCCTTCGGGATGTGTTGTTACAGGCGGTGCTTTTTATCCACTGCAGTGTTAACGGCACTCAATCGAATGAAGCCCAGATGTGTTCAAGGTGATCAGATTCCATTGTGGCCATTTAATGTACATTGTAATCTACCGCCATTATAAAGAATTAAAATATATTCATGAATAAAAAAATCTACTTTTCTGGTGTATTAATGTAATTTATTTGCAGTTCAGTGACGACGTTCTTACAGTTTTACCATAATGTCAATTCAGTAGCTCTTCTGGAGCTTTTGATTATTGCCACGGTCAAGAATGAACTTTTAAGAGGAGACAACCGAGTAAAAACATCAAATTCTCCTAAAGTTAGCATTAAATAACATTTTAAAGAACTTGTAATTGTCTTAATGTCAGTAATCAACTGGGGAAGTTCCATGGTGATATTTTTTTTTTCTTCAAAATGTTTGTAATTTTACAAAACATATCTTTAAAGGCTGTTTTTTCTCTAAATCTTTTTTTTTTTTTCTGAGTCTCTTGTAAAACAAGAAGGCTTTCCAATGTTCAGATTTCTGCACGTATTTAATAAGGGTGCCTCATTTGCATATTTAAACTTACATTTTCAAAAAACTTGTCATACAATTACTTACAATAATTGTCTAAATGTAGATATCAACTGGGAAACGTTCACAGTGATTCTGTTCAGTAAAATGTTGACCCTATTTATCTCGGGTGTCTTAAACTAACAAGGAAAATAAGTCCTTAAAGTGTTAAAAAAATGGAGCAAAAGCTGTAATCTTGTCTGCAGATGTTAATTTCTCTCCTATTTCTGATCAGATTCCTGCTGGAACTTATGCTGTGTTTAGTTTTTGATCAATAAACTAATGTTGTTCATGGTAAAGTGCTTCTAACCCTCAGTGTAGAGAGACACTGAGGCCCGGCTGCCACTAGTAAAGCTGTTTAGACAATGGTTGTTTGACAGAAATAGTGACCAATCAAAGCAGACTGGCAGACAGGATGAGAAGAATAAAGTGTTTTTTTTAATATTACAGCATGCAAGTGTGTTCTAGTAGAACAACACAATGTAAATAGTGAACCTGATTTTGTGTAATATGTCCCTTTTAACGATGTGAATGACCCTGGAGCAGGAGGTCGGATGCTTCATTTCACCTCCTGATAGTGCATGGAAATTAGAGTTGAAGCTCTGCTAATGAATGACAAGTGGGATGAAGAGTTTGGGTTTTACATAATTACTTTAGTATTTCCTAAACCACTGATAGCAACCAAATATATTTCCCAGTCAACGTTGCCAGATGGTAAATGTTAAACTAAGGCACCAAAGGCTCAAACAGATGGTAGTTTGAGGAACAATTTTATTTAAAAAATCACATATTTTGATACTTCACTTGTTCTTGACTTTTAGTACATTTTACTCTTCAGAGTTACTTTTCCTCAAATACAGTTTTGAATGCAGAGCTTTCACTTGT